ATCAAATAATGTTCTGGAACATTATTTGGCAGACATGAAACGTTCTTAACCCTCTAATGCCGAGGGTATTTAAAAGTTACCATTAAATTTTTTTAAGAATTTAATTTATCTAATTTATGCTTTGGATTTGGAGGAAAATTGTCGGAATTGAAAAAAAACTGTAAATTCACTGCTTTTTGTTATTGCCCAAGTAGAAATGTGCCACTGGCATAGTACTGACCCAACACTGCCAGTCAGTATAACAGTACTGACTGCCGTACTGGGCCAGTAGTGGTCCAACCCTGGCTGGTAACGCTGTCCAGTACTGATTTTGTCCCGCTCACCAGTACTAACGTAGTACTAGAATAATACTGGCATAATACTGGCAAAGTACTCATCCGGACTTAAAATCTCACTTTTTTACAAAATGCTAAAACACGCTTTCCAATGCAAATTTCATCCTTATTAGCTTATTACTCCCATTTTTACCACGAACAGGTAATGTGAAGCCAATAATAGTTAATGTTATTTAGAATATATAAAATATTATTAACAATAAATAATTAAAATAATAATTATCATTTATATTAATTAAATTATTTTATTTTTAATAAATTATTTTACAAAAAATAATTTGTGTTGTAAATTTTTTTATTTTTTTAAATTCATAATATTTAATTTTTTTTACTTTGCACTTATACTTAATTTAATAATTATTTAATAATTGATATTACACATGAACAAATATTGTACTTATAACACTTAAAACTAAGAACGAAAAATCTCGCACGCATGGGGGATCAAACCCTAAACCCTTAGAACGCAAGTCAGACACGCATACCGCACAGCCGCGCTGGCTTGAAGTGCTGACTTGAAGTAGTTCACCTAATACAAAAGTTTTGATTTCAAAGTTTGTATTATCTATTGATCACGAAAATAAAATGAATTTATTCTTAAATTTTTTAAACTCACAAAATTTTTTCAATTTTTACAAAGATTTAATGAAATAAAACTGGATATCAATTTCAGTTAAATATTTTTAATAAATTATTTTTACCGTAAATAATATTAAAACAGACAAAAATGATTGATGAATTACATAATTAAAAATAAGTTAATAAAAGACGACTGTAAAATATGAATGGTAAAAAATTTTTTAAATTTAATATTTAATTATTAATAATATTTAAAAATTACAGTGAAAAAATTACATTTGCTTTATTTTTAAAACTATTAGAAAAAAATTCTCAACTTATTGTTATTGTATGCATGATAAATAACTTAATGCACATATGAGTACTAAAATAACTAAAAAAACATAAATATATTTTATATAGGTATATAATAATACATTACAATTACATCCAAAATTTTGAGGGAAAGTATTCGAAAGAAATTAATATACATTTTTTTAAATAAAAAATCATCGTTTTCTACCTATTGGAATAATTTAAAGACTTTTTCATTTAATGTTTTTTATCACCGACATAGTACTGATTCGGTGTGAATGACAGTGTATTGCCAGTACTGGTTTTAATATTTTTTTACCTCCGACATAGTACTGATTCGGTGTATTAGTCAGTACACTGCCAGTACTGAAAGTCAATACCGACGCCAGTATTGGATCAGTACCATGCCGGTGTTTAATTACGGCGAGCTACGGATATTTCTACTTGGGTGGTCTAAAAAATCCCACCATGGCTTCATATATTATATAAATTATTTAAAATAAAATCAAACAAAAGTTACTAAGCGCAAATTTAATTTGTAATATCATCAATTTAAAATATATGTAATTATTTTACTATAAAAAATATTAACACTTACTTTCTTTTAAAAAATTATCGCATCAAACTTGAACAATATACTTATCCTTGAAATGTATTGACAATTATAATATTTTTAATGTTAAAAAAATTGAATAACGATTTTCGATGGTACAGAAACAATCTTCTTTGCCTACTGAAACCTACTGTAATTATTAGATATTTGTTTCTTTAGTAAAATTGTTAAAAAATATTTTTAAATCTATGGGACGCTTAATTCTTACCCGTACCTAGAGGGTTAAAACGTTTTTAAAACGAACATGGTTTTTTGCCCACTGGGAAGCATACAAATAAAATTGGCAGTATTAAGCAGTTATTTTTATTAGTGTATATTATTTTGTTTTTATAATCTCATATCGTATCGTCTAAAATAATTGAGATCTGGTATTCTCATGTATAAAACGAGCATTTGTTATGTTCAAGTAAAAACTTCATAATTTACAGTTAAACAAATGCTTTCTGCCTACATACAGCAAATTTTAGTTTTAATTATGTGTAAGACATTTTTTTATCTACAATTTTTTACATGGTCATTCCTGTAAACAGTAATTATCTTCTGACAGAATTTGGAAAAATACATCACATAATTGTAACTGAATTAAACGATGTGTTTTTTTATTTACCAAGTTAAATACCGTTTCATCGAATAATCATCTTCCAGCATTCTAAATATTTGATATCAATATCTGGGAAATTATCCCAGTAAGAAGAAGATAAGAAGTGAGTATTTATTGTTAGGACTTAGATTGCTTGAAACTTAATTCCTATCAATTCTGTTTGAATGTTTCTCTAATTTTTTAATTCTTTTAAATTCCAAAATACTGAATATGTAATTTGGACTAAATATTTCAGTTATACCTGAGAGTCAATTATTCGTTTTGCGCGGAACAGTCAACAGACACTCGAAAGTTCAAAACTTCAGACCGTCAAATTTTTTTCTGCACAAAATTATTTTAAAACGGAATTAAAAAGAATACAACTGGCATTATTTTTGACTGCTCAAGATGGATACAAAAGAATTGGACAGTAACGGAATTCAGAAGAATTGAAAATTTACAATTCTTTTCAATTCCTCGCTTTTTACTGGGTTTATGTTCGTAAATCTCTAATTTAGTAAAACTGAACTAGTAAACACTTTTCTAGTCGATTGCATAAGTTTTAGTGGCTCTTAGAGAAAACTTTATTCTTTTGTCAGTTATTATAAAAATATTTTAGGTGAGATTAAAGACTTGTAATTGTAATTTCATTTACTGCAAGCTTGCATACGGTAACCTTATAAGCCCTACACATATCCTTACAATAACCTCACAGCAACAAGCTTTGCTATGTGGGTTATGGATATTTATAGAAAAAATTGTTATGTAAGTTGAATTTTAAATTGTACTAAATCACTGTATATGCACTGAGAAAACTGTTTGGTATCATCTACTGAAGTTTGGTTCTCCAAACCAAATTTTTTATTTGATATATGTGCAACTAATCCGTTTGGTTCGGGCTACTAAATTTTTTCGTTGAATCATTTTGTTCGGTCTACCAAATTTTTTGTTTTGCACAACTAACTTATTGTTTTTAAGCAAACAAAAAATTTAGTTAAATGAAAAAAATTTTTTTCTTTTCTCAATCAAATTATTTTTTGGCTCACACTTATATTTTTTATTTTTCACTTAATTTTATCACTTTTGTTATCCTCTTTTATTCTTTTCGCTTTATATTACCTACCACCCTATGTCTACTTAAATTAATTTCTATTGCGGAAAAACCTAACACTGCTGGGGATCGAACCCTCAGACTACGCAACGCAAATCAAGAACGCTGACCACTACACTAAGAATCCTAGTGACATTATGAGTGTAAATTATTTTCATAAAGTATACAGGCTGGAGAAAAACTTCCGTTCTTTTAACAAGCTTTATTCTCTCTGTTCGATATGCATCACTACACACACTTTTTTACCGAATTTCTGAAACACATAAAAATCCCGAAAACACTTGAATAAAACTGGACCACACGAAGAGCGAAGCATGGTTAACGTGTGACATCCGTAAACAGAGAAAGAAGCCATATTTACAAAAACAGCGCATGCGCAATTGAGCATTCAGACGGTTTGGTTTGGAGAACCAAATTATTCAGTTAACAGACGCAAAAGCTTGAACGAAATTTTTGGTACAGCCAACTAAATTTCTCGATTGATTGCTTCTTTCGTTACTGTTATGTCAACTAAATTTTTGTAATCTTAACTAAAAGTGCTCCACCAAATTATTTTGTTAACATTACATTATTATTTTTCTCAGTGTGAAATTTAATAGATACTAATTAATAACAGATGACTTAGAACGTTTAGTAGATGCTTTCTATGCAGAACAGATTTAATAATTATTACATAACAAATCTGAAACACAGGAATAGAACAATTCAATAAACTTTCGTAATAATCTTCTATAACGCTGCAGTAACAATGATATATAAATTGTAGAACAAATTAAGATAAAATATTGTAGAACACTTGTTATTTATTTGTTATAGATTATATAAAAAAATATTACAGTATAAATTTAGAACACAGTTCTAGAAGTCTTACATAAAAAAATTATAATAGTTGTTCTAGAGTAGAAGACACTAGATCAATTCCACTACGTGCTCACTGGGATATATCCAAAGTAATCTACTTCAAAATATTGCCAACAAATAAATCAAGAGATTTTAATGTTATTGTGACTATGTTCTATTTTATATTAATACTGTTCTCTATAATATTTTATAAAAGTGCCTCTTAATCAGCACTTTTAAATTTTTGGTAGTTATGAATTAAAACTTTTTTCAGATAATAAATTGGAACCATTGCTTATCGAGTAACCTTTGACACGGAAAATAATCAGTCTCATGGAAACAAATCAAACATAAGCCAAAATGAATCATTTAAACACGTAAAATTAAACAAGCTTCAATATTAAAATAAAATTAATATATTTTTATAAGTAATGAAGGATTTAAGTGTATCAGACGACAGATTTAGTGTATTATTTATTTTCTTATAATTAATAATAATTTTTGTGGTCCTTAGTTGCAATTAATTTCTTGACGTGAGTGATAGGAACAATTAAGTGATCGCAAAATAGTTTGTTTATTATAATGGTGGGACAATTTACTAAAAGGCAATGGTTAACTTTAATTGTTATTAGCATTGCTGATTTTGCTAATGCAGTATGTGTCTCATTACAAGCTCCATTTTATCCGCAAGAGGTAAAAAATTTAGTAATAATAATTATTTTATTATCGCTATATTCTTATTTCATGAAAACTTTTTAGATAATAAAAGTATGCATTAAAATAGATCAATATGTTTTATAAATTGTTTATTATTCTTCTATTAACAAAAGTATATATATTAAAGACTATAAGAGCTATTGAAAATAATTTTGAAATACATTCATATAACGTATTGAATTTTCTTATTATAAAACTTCAATAACTTAAAAACTCAAATGTATTTTTAGATTTGTAGATCATAAGGATAAAAATATCCAACGCTCTCGTATTGTTTTAAATATTTAATGATTGTTATATTAAACATATTTTATAATAAGTATATTTCCTTTAGAAAAATGAGTATTAGAACTTTGGTTATGTACATTCAGATTACATTCTTCCAGTGCGTAATCGTGCAAATTACGAATTGAGATTTCTTGTAAATAAGTTAATTCGCCAAGCTAAATATGTTGACAGTTTTTTTCATTAATCAAGAAATTACATTAAAAACAGTTTACATAATTATTAAAATACAAACTGCTTGACTGTATAAGCTTGAAAACACTCTAGTTGTATATTGATGATTTAGATAAATTTCCAAAGTACTTGTTTAATTGGTATATATTTTTAATCCTTTTTCTAATGAAATAAATAGATGTATTGTAAAAAATGTTGCTTTAGGATTAACAGTTAAAATAGATTATTTGAAAAGAAGAATACTGTTCAAATCAAAATAGAGCTGTTAATTTCGTTGTTCACTTCTTTTTTGCCGACGTTTCAATGTCTAACTACCAACTTCGAGACAGAAAAATTTTAAGAAAACTTAAGAGAAAGAATCTATAAAAAATTATTATATGTGGGGGATTTCTGTTAAAATAATCAAGGTGAAAAAAGTTTTCACTAATTCGGCGTCTCCTAATGATAAAGTGTCTATTCAAATTTCAGTTCTTATTCAATTGTTTGTGCAATATGGTGATAGTTCAAGTTGAGGGTAATAAAATGTTTATATTTACTCGTCAATTTAATATAAAGCTTACATTAAAATAAATTTTTATTTTATTATTGAAACTGTTTAAAAAACATATTATTATAATTACATGAATTTCTAAATTTAAATGAATAATATAAGATCCTTTTTAGAAAATATGTTTATAAAAAATTGATTAGGTAATACAAAAAATTGATTTAAAAATAAATATGAGATGACTTAAAATTTAAACAATAAATTAATCTTATTGCTCTATTCTATTCAATAAACGTTATTGACAAAAATAAAATTACAATTTTTTTTTTACACTATATTAATTCATTTGAATTTATTTAAGTTTTTCATTAAATTTTTATTATATTCGTTTTTAAATTAAGAATTACACTGCGACCTGAGTTTAGCGGCAGGTTTGGTGGGTCGTTCGCTAAACTCAGTAATGAGATTTTCCGAAATCGACGTCAGCAATCAGGGCCGTACGAACTACTTGAAATACGAAATCCTTAAACTCTTTTCTTGAAAATTCTTCATCTTATAATACATAATATTTTTATTGCAATAATTATTATAATTATATTTTAATTTTTAGATTTTATTATAATTATAAACAGTAATAAGTAATACTTAAAATTACTTTTAATAAAAATTCAAATAATTGTACTGACATCAGACAAGATAGGGGAAAAACTCACCATTTGCCTTATAAATTTTAAATTTATTTGAAATTAAATAATATAAATTTCATCAAATATAACATTGAGAGCAAATATTAAAATTAAGATTTTCATAAAGTAAATTTATAAATTTGCTGGGAGTGAAAACAAAAATAAAATTTGTATACATGTATATAAATAAGCTTTTATAATTTAACAAATTTTTTATTTAAAATTAAAGATTAAAAAACTTTGTACCTCCCAGACAAACGTCTCCGCTTGGTACTCATTTTCAACTAGAAGGAACCGCGTTGCCTTACTTATACGCTCCTGCTCGAGTCGGAGCATCTTACGCTTACCGCTTAATTAGCATCCTATTGTTGCCGATTCCGAGATTTCGCTAAACTCGGGTCGCAGTGTATATTTAATTTTTTAATTGACGATTTACTCAAAAGAATTAATTTTTTAATCATTTTAAGGTTAAAAATACTTTATAATTTCATTTCTACAATTTTTAACATAAATTTTTATGTTATGTGCATTACATTACATATTATATTTCTGTGTATTTTTCATTCGTAAAGTTATAAAAAAATATATAAATTATTTGAATAAGCTTTATATTGAATTGACGATTAAATATAAACATTTTATTACCCTCAACTTGAACTATCACTATATTGCACAAGCAATTGAATAAAAACTATATTGCACGAAATTTTCAATAGACACCATATAACCTAATTTTCTGAGTTAACACTTTATTGCACTGAAATTTGAATAAACACTTTATTTTTAGGAGACGTAGAATTATGCCTAGACTGTTCAAAATTTTGTGACAAACTTTCAGAGAAATTTCCTTGCAATTATAAAAGAATGTTTTTATGAATAAATAAGAATCTGATTCATATTAAATTTTTTAAAAATGAATGAAAAAGAGTGATTTAAAGTGCAAGATAATTCTATGAAAGTGATGCACAACTTGAGTGCAATTCAACGAAAAATGAAGTAACTATAAAGAAATAAAAATAATAATAAGTGAAAAATGTAGTGATACATGTCGAGTGATTTTCGACAAAATCGAGATTCTTGTTAAAATAACAATCAAAACAATTGAATTTTATAGTTTCATTTCATTTCTTTTATGAAAGGAGACGGAAAAACAAATGAAATCCACCTGTTCGACATGCATCACTAAAAAAATGAAATTTTATTATAAATAATAAATAATAAATGTTACTAAAGAATTATTCTTTTAAATATACATGTTGAAATATTTTTTTAAACTCTTCGTACAAAGATTTTTAAAGCTAATTAATCTTATTTTAAATTTAGAATTGAAAAAACAATTGATAAATTAAAAAATAAATTTTCAAATTTTTTTAGGTTTTTATTTCAGTGTGTTTAACAAGTTTAAGTAAAAGTTTTCCCAGATTTATCCTAAGCTTTTACCTAATTATATAATACCTGATACGTTTAATATAATTTAACGTAATACAATAGGTGATAAATTAAATTAGTTACGAAATTTTAACAAATTTAATGAAAAATGGTTCTCAACATTAAAAATTGTAAACAATAGAAAGAAAATAAAAAATTTAAGGAAACAAAAAGTAATTTAAAAAAAAAGATATTGAAATATAAATTGATAATATTTAAAAATTTAAGAAAAGAAAAATTTCAGACAATAATCCAAATTTCTTTCTTGTTTGAATTTAAACATGAATTACACACCTTTGTACAGGGGGTCGATTACGTAACTTTCCCACTTCCCACATCTCACTTCCCACATTTTACATCTCACTTCCCTTTTTACATCCCACTTCTCACTTCTCACATTTTACATCCCACTTCCCACATCCAACATCTCACTTCTCACATTTTACATACCACTTCCCACATCCAACATCTCACATCGCACTTCCTACATCTCACTTCCCACATTTCACATCCCACATCTCACTTCCCACATTTTACATCCCACTTCTGACATCTCACTACGCATCTTTCACATACCACATCTCATATTGCTCATCCCACTTCTCACATCTCATTACCCATCTTTCACATACCACATCTCACTTCCTACATATCATTTCCCACATTTCACTTCTCACATCTTACTTTCTACATTCCACTTCTCATATATCACTTCCCACATGTTACTTTCCGCTTTTCACACTTCACGTCATGCATCCCACTTTTTGCTTTGTTTTTTTCACTTCCATTTTATAAAAATTGTTATTGTGTAGATTTAACTAGTTTCTGAAAGAAACTAAAAATTTTGCGATGCGTTAAACATAACACTAAAATAATGTCATATTCTTTCGACTTTCTGTTACTATTTACTAAAATTTTTAATTTAATACATTAATTTATGCTGATTATTTATGATACAAAAGTTTAATCGAAAGACTAATAAACGGAATAAAGAGTAAAAATTTGAAAGTGAGATGTACGATAATGAGTGAACATTGAGAAATGGGATATAAGATGCGGGAAGTGGAACGTGAGATGTGGAAATAGAAAGTGATATGTGAAAATTGGGAATTGAATTGTGGGAAATGGGAGAGATGTGAGAAGTGGAAAGTGGGATATAAAAGGTGGGAAGCGTGATAAGAAAACTGTAATGTACAATGTGAAGTGTGAAAAGTGAAATGTGAGAAGTGGGATGTGAAATGTGGGAAGTGAGATGTGGAATGTGAAATATAAAAAGTGGGATGTGGGAAGTGGGATGTGGTATGTAAAATATGGGAAGTGGGATATGAAATATGGGAAGTGAGAAGTGGGATGTGAAATATGGGAAGTAGGATATGAAATGTGGGAAGTGAGATGTGAAATATGAGAAGTGGGGTGTGAAATATGGGAAGTGGAATATGAAATATGGGAAGTGAGATGTGAAATATGTGATGTGGGATGTGGGGTGTGAAATATGGGAAGTGGGATGTGGAATGTGGGAATGTTACGTAATCGACCCCCAGTATCTGAAGAAATATACTGTATGTTGATTGTTTATTTTTTATGTCATTATTGATGAAAAATGGATTTTGATTTTATTTGATAAAATGAAGTTTAAATCGGAATTATTAATTAACTAATTATTGTATTTAAGAAAACATTTTCTAAAAAAATTTAAACTTTTTATGGCATGCAACAAAAAAGTCAAGCATTTTCGAAAGTAGGACGGATCCAATATGCCAGTAAAATATTTTACAAGTTGTTGATTTTTTATAATACTTGGTTATATTGGATCCGTCATTTAAAATTTTGAAAATCTGACATCAGGGTTGTTTTTAACCTAAATACTATAAACGAGTTGATATAGAAAAACGACCAGACACGGTAATTTCATTTTTACCTTACTTTTCAAAAATTCTTGACATTTTCTTATTCACAAAATCGTGTCGAACAGTGCAATAAATAAATTAAATTAAAATTATTTTTAAAATGAGATTTTTTTATAGGCTGAAAGAAAAGGAGCTTCAGCAACGGAATATGGCTTAGTATTTGGAGTTTTTGAATTGGTGGTGTTTATTATTAGCCCAATTTATGGTCAAAAGGTAAGACTAATTTATTTACACTAAAAATTTGATATTTTTGTTACATTAATAGATAACATTGCAATGAACAGTTGGATTAAAAGGATATTTTTATAATTTTTAACCTTGAAAAAGGAATAATTATATTACCGTATTAAACAAAAAAATTTTGTTCTAACGCAGTACTAAAAACAAATATTAAAAATATATACTCTCGAGAATGTTTTCGCGAAATTTCATAAAAATTGGAGCACCAGAACCAAAGTTGAGGCTGTTATACATACAACAGCTAGTTCATGAAGGAAGAAATTTTAATTTTTACCAAAATTTATATTTTTTTTGGTCAAAAAACCAAATTTGAAAAATTTAAAATCACAATTTTTAAGGAAAAATCATCGACATTTATAAAAAAAAAATTTCAAAACTCTTCCTTTACGAACTAGGTGATACAATATAGGGGAGAGCAGTCAGGGTTGGACATAGTTTTGACTTTTCTCTATAACTTCCCTTGTAGACCGAATTTCGAGATTTCTTATATATTGTTAGAAAGATCTACTAAAGGGCAATGTTTTTGCTAAACATTGTAAAAATATTTGACCAAAAGTTTTGGAATTATAGGCAATTAAAAAAAAGTAGTCAGGATTGAGTAAGGTGGTCCAATTTTTTTTTATTTTTCCAAGTCTTACTCTCTTAACTCCTTTTAAATGGTGAGAAAAGATTTTCCTAATTTTTTCAGATTTTTTATGGGACAACACAAATAAAAAGTCAATAAATAAAATAAAAAGTAAAATAAACAAAGTCAAAAATAAAATTGTAAAAAGACAGATGAACACACAAAATATAACATAAAACTGTAAAAAGAATAAAATAAATAGACAGAAAATTGTAAAAAGACAATAAAAGGACAAAATAAATAATAAAATGAACAAATAAATATAAAATGGAGACTTAATATTTTGTTGTCCCATACTAAATTCATCTAATAATAATTTACATTAAATAAAATTTGAAATAATTGCATTATTACTAACTAGGTACTATTTATATAATTCCAAATTCGATTCTGCGAATATATATTATAGCAAAGCATTTGTGTGCGAGCTTACTGCGTCCCAATATTGGACTCATCAGTAAGGCTACGTAGTGGGAAACCTGCCTCATACGACCATGGGAAAGTAGAAAGCACATGGGTATTGACCAATGGCAAAGACATCCATTGGCCAACCCCCACAATTTTTTGAATTTTATATTTTCGCGCGCCACTGACGTTATACCATGTGACAAACACATATTCCTAATTAAATAATTTAATCTTCTATTTATTAACTAATAATACAGAAAAAATAATGTGTAAATTGAGAAGAAGCAAACTTTATTAATTGATTGATTACAAACAGTCTTTGATAATCTTAAAATAATTAGTTAATTAATTTTTTTACAGAGAAAATTAGTCAAAAAATTATTTCCTCATCGCAACAATTATTTTTTGGGCTGGAAATAATTTTTTTTGCAAATTTGAAATTGAAATTGTTTCATTTTCTTGATACCCAAGGAATTAAATAATAGATTTAACTACAATAGTTCTCCTGATTATTAGTATGATATAATTATTTTTTTTATGATCGGTTATTTTGAATTTCTTAAATCTGATGACAGATTCGTATTCAATGACCCCGAAAACCCCTCAGGAACAAGTTTCAAGCAAATTAGATTCATTTGCAATTTTTTTTGACCGCCATTTTCAATTTTTAAAATCTGATGCCAGATTCGTATTCAGCGACCCCGAAAACTTAAAAAAATCAAGCAAATCAGATTGATTTTTAATTTTTTATGTCCGACATATTAATTCAGCCATTTAAAATTTTTTCTAATGCCACTTTGCTTTGAGAAGTAGACGAAAAGAGCTAAATTTTAAACACTATTACGACTCATTTGGTCAAAACCATTTTTGGTGAGATAGGGGTCTCCTGTTCAGAAACAATGCCCCCTATATATCTTTTTTATTTTTAAAACTATTTCAATTTTTATTGCATAATCTGAAAGAGAAGTTCTTGAAATATTATTTTACGCGATGCTGAAATGCTTTTAACACCAAACATCGGATTAAATATATAGAAAATAATAGATTTCCATACCTTGTGGGACCCCTGGCAGATCGACGAAATGGAATGTGCCGCGATTTCGTGGGACATTCGCGGATCATTCACTTTGACTGAAAATATTGTAGAAAATCATTGGAAAGAATGAAAAAGTATTATTGAATTGAATAAATAAACTATTTAGTGATTGATTTATGCAGTACTGTTGCTAAATTAATGTTGTATTATTAAATAAATAAAGTTTAAAGTGTATAATGTTCGGATATGAGTGTTTGATATGCTAGGGAGTTCTGTAGTGACATTTCAATTCATTGTCGATAATGAAGTTAAGACGCCGGTTTTGCACCGTAGGTGTCAGTAGTTATACTTTCTTACTTTTAAATTCTCTTTTTATCTTGTTAGAAAAATGTTGTATTAATTTGACTAACAATAAGGGTCAGTTTCACCAACTCCGGTTAAAAGTTAATCAGCGATTAAATCCTTAACCGACCAATCCTAGATACGCCTCCTAGATATAGGTGGTACCGGTGAAATTAAATAATCGGCGCGAACCAAAAACCAGCACTGGTCTAGAACCTAAGGGAAGGAACCCTGAAGAATAAATACAACAATGAATAAGGAAGAATTAAGAAAAAATTTGATTACACTGCAGAGGAGTTCGGATGCCTCTGCAGTGGCGCTAAACCAGGGTGAGCAAGCAGGCCATAAAGCATCGAAATCCCATTACTGCAGTACCTTATCAGTTGACGACTTGGCTGATGAAGTATTTACCTTTACAAGCGAAATGAAGATTGATACAATGCAGATGGAGTTAAATCGTGTCACAATAGAGAAACTAACTAAGATGACTGAAATTCTAACAGCGATAAGCAAAGCTATGGAAAAGCAAGAAAATGTTCACAGAGACATTAAAAATGGTATACCAGATTTAAAAACGTACGTTGAAATAATTAAAACAGAGTACGAAAGGGTAAGAACGAATAGTATTGAAGTCCAGAGGAAAAGGTTAGGCTCAATTTCCAAGAGGAAAGTAACACCAAAGACCAAACCGCAGAAAAGAAGTGCTACCAGTCCATTGGAGAGTATGGAAGATAAAAGAGCCAGAGACATCTCATCAAATAAAGGCTGGACTAAAGTACCTTTTAGTAAAAACAGGAGAGAAATAAAGTCGACGGAAAAGAACAGGGAAAATGGGACTACTAGGAACCACGAAATGGGGAAAAGCGTCAGAAACAGGCTAGAAGCAATACTTATAAAGCCCGTAGTGGGTAAAACATACCGGGAAGTATTAAAAAATATCCGCGAAAATGTTAACCTAGAGGACACAAAGACAGAAATAAAATCAATTCGGCGAACTAGATCAGGAAATGTATTACTGGAAATGACATTTAAGTCTGGTATTAAGGAAGAATTTACAAATTCCCTTGCAAGTGCAGTAGAAAACTCTGGAGTTGTACAGTGCAGAACCCCTAAGCTGATTCTGGAAATCATGGACCTAGACTCACAAACAACGAAATAGATGAACGCGCAGCAAATGAACTGCTTAAAACTGCACGTATAAAAATTGTCTGGGTAAACTGCCGCATAAGACAGAGAGTCGTAGTCACCCGATGTTACAGGTGCCTAGGATTCGGACATAGATCAATTAAATGTGAAGGTACTGATAGAAAAGATATGTGCTATAAATGTGGATGTAAAGAACATAAAGTAATAGAATCTACCCAAGAAGCAAAATGTTTCCTTTGCGAAGAAAGAGGTGAACAAGACTTATCACACATAGCGGGATCTGGAAAATGCAAGTCATTTATCCTAGAATTTGAAACAGCGAAACAGAAACTAAAGTGCTGACAACAATGCAAGGAAATATGCATCGAAGCAAAACCGCACGAGAAATTCTGGGACAATTAACACTGGAAAAAAAGATAGACACAAGCGAACAGTATAGGAATGAAAAATTCCTAAATTGGTATTCGGACCTATCAGAAACGGCAGCTATATGGATAAGAAATACAAACAACTTTAGAGTTAAAGATCATGGAAATGGTTTTGTTTGGGTTAATAATGGAAAGACAACTATAATTAGCTGTTATTTCACCGCGAATGAACCCATACCAACCTTCCAAAAAGCAGGAAACAGAGGAACAATCCCTGATATATCCCTTGCAACAGAGGATACAACGAGCAAGATATCTGATTGGAAAGTGATAGAAGATTTTACTGGGAGTGACCATCAGTATATTGTTTTCAAAATTGGGGACTCAAAAGAAACAACATCTTATAAGCCGAAAAAAGTAGTAAAGTGGAACGTTGCGAAAGTAAAGTCTGAGTGCCTTATCTCAGTTATCCAACTGGGATCATATGCAATAAAGAGAGAAATAGAGCGAAATGGTAGAGCAGAACGTATCGTGGAGTCTAGTATTAAATTGCTAAAGTCATCCTGCAATTTGTCAATGCCAAAGAAAAAGCAGCGAATAAAAAAGGAAATGTACTGGTGGACCGAAGAAATTGCGGATCTTAGAAAGAAATGTCTGTACCAGCGAAGAAGGGCTCAGAGGGCAAAAAAGAAAGACCTAGATGCATTCTTGTACAAAACAACAGAGAATAAGTCAGCAAAAAAGACACTAGGAAAAGCTATTAAATTAAGTAAACGGTATTGCTGGGACAAGCTTATACAGGAAGTTGATGCAAACCTATGGGGTCTAGGTTATAAAGTAGTAACAAATAAATTAGGGAAATTTAAAGGTCAAGAAGTTAAAAGTACGCAGGAAATGTCTTACATAGTGGACACGCTTTTCCCATCACGCGAAGAACAAAACAATGTCAGAGAGAATACTGTGAGCGAAGGAATCGAGTTTTTCACAGAGCTAGAACTCAAGAAAGCAATGAACACTATAAAAATGAAGAAATCGTCTGGCCCAGATG